ACCGTCGCAGCCGCCCAACAATGCGCTGCCGACCATTCCAGACGTGCCAGATAGATCGGAGCCAGCTGCCGGCTCAGGGCCGGCACGTCCTGTCTCAGGTTTAAGCGGGTCTGCTGCTTCGGGGTCTTCAGGAGCGACTGGATCGTCTCAGCTTCAACGACGAATGCGAGGCAAGCAAGAAGATGCAGCGAGTGCGGTTTCAGCCGAGGAAGCGGCTATGATGCTGCACCTTGAGCAAGGCAAGGAGCTGATCGCTGCTGCCCCGGATGAGCTGTTGAAGAAATATGCACTGCAGAGTATCTCTTCACTTCTGGAAGAGAGTGGTTCTGCTTGTGATGCTGTGTATTCCATGCCATTTTCAGATGAGGCTTTGAGCAGTTTGAGTTGGACAGCTAGAAATCATGTGGACGACGACCCCCAGCCTGTCTTGGACTGGAAGACTTTTAGTCTATCCAAACATGTCTTCTTGCAAGTCATCCGGAAAGCAGTGGGGGCTATTGTTGTGCCCAAAAGCACAGGCTTGCGAAGGACCGATTGGGCAGTTTCTTTTCTGAAAGTCAATTCAGTCAAAAAGACAGCTGAAGATTCTTTCTGCGTGGTTGTGAACTCCAGTCCGGTATGCTTGCATTCGTTGGATGCAGGGGAGGCAGACTCGGCAGACAGGACTCCTGTTGTTCTCAGCTTGGAAGCTTTGCCGTTGGAGAGCCTGTTACGACTACGGAGATGGGAGCACACCGATCAGATGTCTTACAACATCACACTGCCGGAGGACGACGGCCTGCAGCTGCAGTCTCTGCGCAAAGCCACAGCAGTGCGGAGTGTGTTGCTTGATGATTTGCTTCAAGCTGGTGCGTATGTGATTCCCAGCAATGATCCTTTGCACACCGAAAAATCACAGTTGTTGAAGCAATTGGAGATGGTGGAGTTTGCAAAGCCAGATGGAGAAGGAGGCTGGCTTTTAACGCCAAAGGGCCATCAGAATGTCCAGGTGTCCACTGTGCTTCGAAGCAGTGACAAGGTTTTCAAAGCTCGTGATGTGCCATTTGAGGACATGGAAGTGATCGAGCTGCTGTTGTCACTCCGAGACAAAGGCTGGGAACACAAGGAGCTTGCTTCAAAGAGGGCTTTGCCGGATGGGAGCACCTACATGCCTGGAAGTGCCGACAAGACTTGGTATTATCTTGCTAGCCAAGCGACCCTTTGCAAGGACTACCTCGTGTGCCTGCTGACCCAAGAGAAGCCTGTGCCACACCTTGCAGCAGCAGCAGTCTATGCTGAGCTGCTGGGCAAGCCAGTCCAGCAAAGCCGACGGCGCCGTGCAACACCGCTCATGTTCTTGGAAGATGAAGACATCTGGGTGGATGAGGCAGCTCTGGTTCCGAAGCCTGAGCCTAAGAAAAGGGCAAGGACGTCTCGTACAAAACGTGCTTGTGCTGCTGCAGCTTTGGAAGATGCTGCCGAATTGGAATGGCAAGGCCAGGCCGAGCGTGAGGAGGACCAGGCTGGCAGCGACGACGTCGACGTCGACGTGGAAGCCGAGCCAGAGGCTGAGGCGGATGGGCCTGCGGCAGCGGAGGAAGAAGTCCTGGCTGCAGCCGTGGCTGAGCTCTTCCGGCTCTTCCTCTTCGTCTTCGAGCGACAGCGACAGCGACGACAGCGATGGGGAGTCCTCGTCTTCTTATTCAGGGTCTTCTTCGTCTCGAGGCTCGGGGCCCGCTGCCGCGAAAGCCAGAGCGACGGGAAGACGAAGAACAGATGTTGCCATCCCGTATGGAAAGTGCAGGTTGACGCCAACGAAGACCGGCTATCAAATGACTTGCAGGCATCCGAAACACGATGGGGGCACCGCCGCCTGCACCAAAACGAGGAGTTGTAAGATCAATGGAGAACCCACGACACTTCGAATGTTGAAGTTCTGGGCTCAATTGGGGGCTAAGTCCCCAAGCAAAGAGGATCATCAGAAAGCTTGTTGGAAGACTGTGATGAAAGCTTTGGCAGATGGTACCCTGCCATCGATGGATGCTCTGGATGCCAAGCCGGTACTGAAATTCCGGTGACAGCTCTCTTTGTTTCTTTGGCATGCTCACAACTTGGCGGCGTTTTCTTTGCAACATGTGTCTTCAATCAGCTTTGTGCCGGCTCAACTGTTTCACAGCTTCGCAGTGGCTTCACGAATCTCGCAGTTCTCAGAATGAAAGGACAAGGCTGTGCGGCTGTGTTCCCAAGTCTCTTTCACACACATGTCATGCTACACACCACGCAGTACACCACACACCACACATGAGTCACATGGCGCCCACAAACTACATTACACACGATACACTGCTGTGTCACACTGGCCACAAACATGCTGCAAACATGCCACAAGCGGGCCGTGCACATGCCAGCGGCGTCCCACACACACACACACACATACCTTCCACACAGACACACACACACACACACGCACACATATGCATACACATACACATAGACATACACATGCACATGCACATGCAAATACACATGCACATACACATACACCCGCACCCGCACACATACACATACACACACGCACACGTATGCATACACATACACATATACATACACACACACATATGCACATGCCACACAGCGTCGAGGTGTGCATCTTTGCTTGCTGTCACTTGAGCTTGAGAGAGAGAGGGAGAGAGAGGGAAAGAGAGGAGAGAGCTTGCTGTCAGTTGCGGTCTACATGTTCACATGTGCAGTGCAGTGCAGTTGTTGTGTTTTGGCAGTTCATGCAGTCATGTCGGCACTTGAACATGTCCTGGAGCCTTCTCTGAAGCTGCTTGGGGTAGGGGTGGGTGGGGGGCTGGGAGCTGAGTTTTTGCTTTCAGGTTTACCGACCTTTACCGAACTTTAGCTGCAGATTCGTTGCTGTCGCTGCGGGTCCGTCTCTTGCTTCTTTTTCACTTTTTGCCCGTTGTGCCCAAAAATTCCTGGAAATCGCTGCGGAAGCTCTGCGCGGGCTGCGCGGGGCAGTTTTGGGCAGGAAAGGGCCTGGGACGGCCCGGGACGGCCTGGGACGGCCTGGGGTGGCCTGGGGTGGCTCTGGGGGGTCTACGGGCCTGCCCTCGAAACGCTCGAAATTGCTCGAAATTGGGAGGGTGGTTGCTCGAAATTCAGGGGGGTTGCTCGAAATTCAGGCTGGTTGCTCGAAATTCCCCCTGGTTCCTTTATTGCTGTAGCTTTACCATCCCTCGAAATTCAAGCCGGTTGCTCGAAATAGGACTGGGTTGCTCGAAATATCGACCGGTTGCTCGAAACTCCACCTGGCCGCTCGAAACCCTCGAAATTGCTCGAAATTACGTGCTGGCCCTGGCCCCAAAACCGCGGTGCCCGACCCACCTTAGGTGCCCAGCCGGTTCCCAGCGGTTCCTGGCGGTCTGCGTGGTCCCCTGTTGAGAACTTTAGCGTTTTCGGAGTTTTGGGAGGATTTAAGGAAAAGAGCACAAATCACGCGCGACGCAGTAGTTGAAGCCTATGCTACCAAAGAGTCAAAGCTCAAAGAGGTCGCCCCGGTAAATCCCACCCACATGCCACCAACCCTTGGCTAGGCCCTGCGATTGATACCGATGAACACACACATCAAACAAAGATTGAAACACTTGTAGCTTCACGCGAGCACTGCCGCAAATGCAACAAAGATTCAAAACCTTCGGCATACCCGGCATACTGCCACAAAAGCACAAGCATCAAGAAACTGTTCAGTCGAAAGCGTCATGTATGCGGTGCAGTGGTGCAGCATCAACCAACTTGAGCCAACATTGAGAAAGAGATGAGAGTCATTGCAGCTGAGAGATGAGATGAGAGCTCATGCAGTCGGGAGCCGGGAGCCTTGTGTTGCTGCAGTCAGGAATGCACATGTTGACAATGTTGACAAGCATCACGGCATCACACGTTTCCCGCTTTAGCGTGATGCTGAATTGCTGGACTCTTTTATTGGGACGCACAATGACACAATGATGCGACAGTGTGACTTGTATTGTCAAAACTCGAACCGGTATCCTCACTGCACAAGGCTGGTTGATGACTTGATGACTTGATGCATCCTGGCACAACAAACTTTGCGACTTTGCGCCTTTGCGCAAACCCTTTGCTATGATGTTACACAGCGTCGATCGCTGTACATAAAAAAACATGCTCCAAAACAGCAAGACATGAAGCCAATGAAGCCGAGTTGGCATGCACTTGTCATGACAGTGTTGTGCTTACATGTACGGTGAGTGCCCAACCTGCCTGCCTGACTGTGACTGCACCTTGGTCGCTTTCTCAGAGTCCCAGAGTGTAGTCATGTCCAGGTGACAGAAGGCATGAAATTCCCGAGAGTCACAGCCGAAGCGTTGTGGCATTAGTGATCAGCATTGCAGCTTTGCGTAGACAAGACATGCCATAGCTGTTGTGGTGTGAACGAACACTCAGCGATTCGTGATTGTGAGTTGCTTGTCCTTCCAGGCTAGGCGTCTGTGTTGCAAGCACATCGTCTCGAGTCGAGTGTCGAGCATTGAAATTTCAGGAACGTTGTGGCAGACAGCGTATTGCAATCAAGTGTCCATTCAGCATGGTGCAGGTGCAATTCATGATAGCTTTCTCGTCTAGTGCTCGTAGCCTCTAGAATCTACAACATGTCTGGCATGGGTTCGGAGCAGGATTCGAGGTCCCATAAACACGGGCCGGCATCGCTTTCCGAGCTGGGCTGCTGGCCTGCAACTGTGCTGAAGTCTCTGCTATGTGCAGGGGATGGGAGTGATGGAGAACGGATGGGTCGCTTGCAGGCCCTCTTGCGGCCAGGGGTGTGCATGTATTCAGACTACAGCGGCCTGGCAGGTGAGTACGAACTCGTGTGCCAAATGCGTGCAGCTTTGACCATGTTTGCAGCCGAGCATGACATTCCTCAGTTGAAAGATGTTGCTATTGATCATAGCCGCTTCTGTGACTATGGCAAACTGCAGCAAAAAGCCTTGTCTGGGATCAGCGAGATGCATGACAAGCAAATTTGTGTGCTTTCAGATATCAACGATAGACTGCCACCAGAAGCCCGACAGATCCTGGACGGCATGCTGCCGACAGGCGAGAAGGTTTCAGCTGAAGCTGCTGCTGCAGCGTATGCGAGCATGTTCGCTTGGCTCCGGGACCAGCGGTCTTGGGTGTTTCCTTCGCAGCCTACATGTCATTGCATCGTTCATGAGGGCATGTGTCCTGTGTTTCCTCAGGGTAGCGATGCTGGCCAAAGCCCGGTCCGGCGCCCACCTTTAAAGCGAGTGCGGAGGAAGTTGTTTCAATCTGAATCGGCAGGGTCTTGCACCATGCCGTCGCAGCAGAAGCTCAGGGTAAATGTTGCCGGGACTACGTGCATCGGTTGGAGCCAAGCAGGCAAAGGCCTTCACTTTGCCGATCCCAGCGAGAGGCCTCATGCTATCTGGGCTACTGAGCGTCTTCGGCGTGCTGAGCTTGAAAGAGAGGATGTTTTCTTCTCCGAATGTACGCCGAGATATCCTGTGAAGGTGGGCTGGGGGGAGGTAGTAATGGGCCTAATGGGACTTATGTAAGGGAATGCTCGCAACACGTGTCCTGTGTGCTGGGAAATGCTTTTATATCTAGCGACAATCACTTTGCAATCACAAAACTGTGTTTCTTCAGAGGTTCGGATCAACATTGAAACAATGTTTCACATGTTCCGGAACTGATGTACAACAGTTTTGAGTAGACAGCCCCTCGACCTCAGCCCAGTGCCTAAAAGCCTGGAGTCGTGAAGCTGATCTCGAATCTCGAACCAGAACTGCGAAATGAACTGTGAAGCCTGTGACAAGCCATCCTGAGAAGTGACCCTAGCCCCAACTCTTGTGCTGACAGGAGAAGCTTGGATTCTTGGACGAAACCCATGAGCTTCTGAGCGTGAAGCTGGACCCGATGATGCTTGGTTGGCCTGTGAGACGGACTCGACTTTTCACAGTGGGACTGAACAAGCGCACGATGGCATGGTTGGGCCCGGATCAAGATGATGTTGCTGCTGACTTCTTGAGGTTTTACGGCGTGGACTTGAAGCTCACCGCGGACGTCTTCCTGGTTGCAACGGACGACGAGGTCGCGGAGGCAAAGTCCACAATGGCTGCACGAAGGGGCTTTAGTGGCAGCAGCAATCAGCAACTGAAGCTTCACGAGATCTATGCTCCTGGGCACTTGCTTCGCTACCAGGACTACGACAAGTACTTTGCCGAATGTGTTAAATCTGGTCAGATTTCGGGAAAGAGCTTCTTTGCTGATTTGGACCAGAACCTGGGAAGAGGAGCGAGCACCCCCGGTGAGGTGCTACCTTCTTGCTTGACTCATTGGACGATCCATGCTTGGAGTGCAGCACGAATGGTTCTGAACCAGGAGGTCTACCTTGCACACGGGTTCAACTTGTATCCGGAGGCCACAGGCTGGCCAGTGCCGTGCAGCATGCGGGATGTCTTGAAGTCGCTAGCCAACAGCTCTCAGAAGCAGCTGGTCGGCAATGGGTGGCATTTGCCCGCCCTTGCTGCGTTCATGTTCTACGTTTTGGCGCACACCGTGCGTCTGGATCGCAATGCCAGCATCGAGCCAGAGAAGACTTTGCTTCGACGAGGCGGGTCAGACTTTAGCGGCCTGGGCAGCACACCGTCCCGCCTGTCTGTGAGCAGCTTGGATGGATCAGGCTCAGACTTGCTGATGGGCCTGCAGAGCTCCCAGGAAACGGCCGTGGACGATGACGAGGACTCGCAGAAAACGTTGATTCTTGGCTGTTTCCGATGAAATGTTTGAAGACCGCAGCATGGATTCCCATGCAAAAATCCTTCACGGTTGTGTTCTTAGAGAGCTCATCCGTTCTATACCGTGCACACATTTTGAACAGGCTTGCCTTCTGTTGTCTCTTGAAGAAGGCCGTAGAGTGTGCATGCATTTCTGAACTCAACTTCTGAGGAGTACTGCAATCTCTTTAGCTTTGCCGTTGAGAGGATCAGAGGGTTTGGCCACTGGGGCTTCACTGGATATGGTTAAGTTAAGCAGTACATACTAGGTTTGTGATATGAAAGCTGGGTTCGGGAGGCCTTGCGTTCTGGTCCTCAGATCAGGCATATTCACTTTCGTGCTGTGCAAGGACCGAGGCAAAAGACCAATAGTGGCAGTGTCGATTGCGTGTGTTAGGTTTTGCTGCCAGCTGCCCAGAAGCCTCGCGTGAAGAGATCCGATGAGTCTTCGTGTTCATTGTGCATGTCTGTGAATGGTTGCAGTCTTTACACCTGAAAGCCTGACAGAGTGTTTGCCTGCTTTCGTGGAGATGTGCCGCAGTGCTAATATCCGGGCATCCAGGACCTGAGTTGAGCAGATCGCTTTGTCGCTGAGGCCGCAATGTTCAATCATCCGAGCCAGAGGCACATGATCCATGTCATGCCGTCCATGCAATCCCCAAGTAGGCATTGGAGGAGAGTTTGCAATCATTCCGAACTCCGATGCACGGGTATTTCACCGCTTCAAGTAGGCTGGCTCAGGCTGTAGCATATACGAAATCCTTACTGGTGAATAGACAAAACTCAACAAGACGTAGCTGCTGTGTGGTGCACGGAAGTCTTGGGCTCTTACGTCGCTGCACTTGGCATCGGTGCTTGTTTCACGTGGCAAGCATGATGGACCCAGATGAGCATGATTTCAGCTCCACTGACATCCTCGGTCAGATGAGAAGTGAAGCTCCCAAAGCAGGCCCGAAATCCAAGGCTAAAGCTAAAGCGAGAGGCAAGGGCCCGCAGCTGAAGACATGCTTTGTTGAGGGCTGCCCCGACCTATGTGTGCCTGGCAAACGGTGGTGTAAACGACACAATGCTGCCTATGACAACCTGTATTACCAGGCCAAAAAGGCTGCCGAGATCCCCACTTTGGAAGCTTCCATGCGGGACCCCGAGACTGCCCAGCGAGCCTTTGACTTGTACTTCGAGCAAAACCCCTGCGACGGAAAGTGGAGGCGGAAGTGCATTGTCAACTGGGCGCAGTGGAAGCGGCAGTTTGTGAACAGCCAAGTGAAGCGGCACCGTGAAGGCTGCAGGCCTTTTGAATACACTCAGCGGCTGTTGTATTGCCAAGGCACGATGGGCTGGTCCAAGGAATCGGCAAAGTCGGAGTGGGAAAAACATTCCAAGGACCGGTCCCTGACCCAGGACAAGAAGGGACTGGATGGGTGCGATCGCATTTGGATCCCTGTGATTGAAGAGAACCACTTTGACAAGGATCGAGCTCGCCACAGCATCTATCAGGAAGGTGGCAACGTGGAGAAGAATCTCAGTGATGAGGACAGAGCCGTGCTTCTTGGTCATGTCAAGAGGAACCTCAAGGACGGGGATCACCGCGACTTCTTCAAAGGGGATTGGGAGGCAGAGACCGATGATGTCACCAGGACCCCGGCGAAGAAGCGCGAGAGAGACGACACGGAGATTGAGACCCCTGCGGAGAAGAAGGCCCGGATGAAGTACGAGAAGCTCACCAGCAATGGCCCCAGCTTCCAGGCGTTCAAGAACACATGCAGCGAGAAGATCAAAGAGAAGTTGGGTGTGGTGACGGCGACATCAAGCGGTGTTGCTGCGAAGATCTCCGAGGGCTTGGTGCAGTTGGAGACTGCGCAGCAGAAGTACTCGGAGGACAAGGTCTTGTCTTCTTTTGCCGATTGCTTGAAAGCTTCTGAGATTGCTTTGGATGCTTGGCTTAGCAAAGGCACGACATTGCCCGCCGATGTGGCGGCCCGTGAGGTACTGATTGAGAACGTGACAACCCAGCTCAAGGAGAAGATTGGGGCAGTTGGTGAGAGTGTCAAGCTCGTGAAAGGTGATGCCACCCTCCATCCCAGGTTGTACTTTGAATCGCAGGCCTTGTCCGTGCTGGAGTACGATGATGCGAAGAAGGTGGTTGACAATCAGGCCCTCGTGCTCAAGACAATGCTTCCAGTTGCCGACCTGTTCATGAAGAGCATCCTCAAGATTGTCACGGACATTGCTAATTACATCAAGCAGAAGGAGAAGAACACGGAGCGTGCCGAGGCAAAGAAGAAGAAGGATGCTGATCAGCTGGAGATTGGCAAGGTGAAGGAAGCAGCCAAGACGGCAGCTGCCAAAGCGAGGATGTTCAATAGGGCAACCAACAAAATCTTCGCCATCAAGGAGGACCAGTGGCATGCAATGCTTGAGCGAAGCGGCGAAACTTTCGATGTCAACCATTACTTGGACAAGCCGTGGGTGCTGAGGAAGAGTGAAACCGTCAAGACCTGGAGGAACAACGCCGAGGCCAGCGTGAAGTTATCTGAGTTTGGCGGCTCCTACCGGAGAGTCCCCTCATGCAAACAGGAGAACCGGGCTATGGCACCGGTCTTGTCCAAGCAGGGCAAGGAGGCTGCGGAGCTCATGGTGCCCCGTGACCAAGAAGCTGGACCTTTCATCGTTGAAAGATGGCAGCAAGTTCGAGAACAACATGTGGTATTGGGGGTTTGACAGCAAGTTGAGCGGTGGCTTCTTGAACCCCAATGCCGCAGCCATGCTCCGTGTTGTGGCCATGGGCACTATCAGCATGGTGGCCTTTGAGATCAACAAAGTGGTTGCATGCATGATCGTATCGTGTACTTGTTTCACGTATGTTTTATAAACTTTGGTTGTTGCAACATTTTGGCTCAGAGTTGTGCATGCTAGCTGTCGTCATTTCGATTTCCCGTCATGTTGTGCAACAAGGTGTTTGGTGTTCAGTTTCTCAATTTTGCTTGCAGTGGTCGCAGGAGGCAACAACAACACACTTCCCTTTCTGTCTTGTAGCTCGTAGTCTTTTAGGAAATCCTCTGGGCCTGGGAGGGAGCGGGCACCCCACCAGTGGGTGAATGGCACAAAGCTCGTTGGCTCCGGAAGGTCAGGCACCAGTCTACGTCAGCGCCGTCAGCTCTATGAGTGCAGCTGACATTTTGGGGTTGCATTCCCGTGTTCCCATGCGGAGCCGCATTCTGTGTGGCTTGCAAACGGCTACGAGCGCATGTGAGTTCACTAGAGCCCGTGAGACCGTAGCAGGACGGCTAACATCACAGGCGCAATGCAACAAAGTCCCGACACCAGTTGCAGAAAGACCGCCTTTCCAGTTTCTGATCAGGCTTTGTTGTAATTGTAATCCTGATGCTAGATCAGTCCGATGTGACGCCGTTGCTTATGTAATTAGTGGTGCAGTACAGGATCCGCTGCGAAAGGGTCGCAGCTGCAAGCTTCGTCCAGTGCACTTTGCTGCAGTCCTGGGTGATGTCCCCGTAGTTCATGTTCACGTATATGAGCCTTTGTTGGCGACAGTAGTCTGTAGTGCCAAAGGGAATCACTTCTAAGATGTGTCGGATCAGTGTGCCTGTGGCGCCTTCACTGCAATCCTGTGTGTGGATCTGTGGTTTATTGGGGCAGTAATGACAGTGATGTGCCGCATCAGCTCCGAGATGTCCAGTCTCTGATTCGAATTCCACATGTGCTACCATCAATACATATCTTCTACCCGTCCATCCGATTCTCCAGCTGTCGTTACAGCAGTCTACGCGCCATGCTTCGTGGAAGTGCACCTGAGGGTTAGCTAAATCAGTTGTGGCCACACTGAGGTGATGTCGACTCGGGTGGAGGCCAGTACCGCACAGGATCAGCTGCGAGACGTGTAGCAACCTCGGCCTCTTGTGGGGCATTTGCTGACGTGCTGTGTGCAGTAGTGTGTTAACCTGGGCAGAGTTCCGACTTCGGTGGCGACAGCCATGGCCTGCAGCTTTTTACAATCCTGCTGAAAGCTTTGTTGTCACGCTGAGTGTGTAAATTTTGCTCAGACAGTATCGCATTCCATGTCTTTGCATGCGGTGCAACAGTTCCAGATCTCTGCGCAGCCTTTGCTTGTAATGCGGGTTGATGATCAGTGGTCAGCGGTCACACGTTGTAATGCCGACGTCGGTGGCGACAGTTGTGCGTGCAAGGTCAGTTCTGCGATGTGCAGCAAATCCAAGTTTCTTGTGGTGCATTTGCGGTACTCCCACGGGCTGCTGTTGGTCACTTTGGCACAGTGCCGACTTTGGTCAGATGTGTAGTAAATTTCAGCTCTTGACTGCGTTTTACAGCGATCCTCGTTAGTTTTCGTGGATCTCAGCAGACAAGCCTGCGCCATCTGCGATCCCTTTTTCATAAAAGGACCGCGAGCTTGAAGCGAGCATTTTCAAACTTGGTTTCAAAAACTTGGCATGGCTTGTTTTTGCACGTGACAATTTTTGCATTGACTTCTGCGCATCGCCTCGTTTGGTCTTGATGACACAACCTTGGTATGCAGCAGCTCAGTGCTCGAGCTGAGTTGTGAAAGAATTTTCTGTGAAACTTGGGCGTGAGACCCTAACTGCTCCTGCTTTTAACCGGGCCCCTTTTCTGACGTTCCCTCTTAGAGGGTGTGCAGGCTGGTCTCGTGTGACCAGCGGATGGACTCGAGCTGCAGACGGGGGCCTGCTCTGCTGCTTGTCGCTGCTCATCCTGAGCTCTGGCAGTGCGTTGTTGTTTTTCTGAGGACTCACCGCGCTCGCTCCTTGCGAGCGACCTGTGCTTTGCTTCGGCTGCAGCATCGCCTCTTTTGGGTCTGCCCTGCCGGGTTCAGTGACTCTTCGGATTATTCCATTGAGGATTAAGCTTTCAGCTTTCATTGCCTCCGGCTCCATGCCCCCTGCATCTTCTGAAGGTGGGGTTTCTGAGGCAGGTGACAGTCGCCGGAGGGATGCCGCCATGGCCTTTGGGTCGTACGAGGCACATTTGGCGTCTTGCATGCGCAAGTTCAATAAGACTGGGTTTGTCCGATCCTGGGATTTTAAACTTAAGCCTTCTGCCAACTTGTTTGCCGGTATGGCACGTGCCAGCGGGCCCATGCCGCCTGTCATGTCTGTGCCAGTGCCCAAGATGGTGTCTTCCCAGGTTACCGTTGCTTCTGTTGTCAAGCTTGCCCTGGGCAGGGTCAGGCTGCAGGATTCTTGGAGTGTGCACCTTGACAAGAAGCTGCGTGCTGCCATTCAGAAGTGGGTGTCTATCGTCCTTGAGGATCCACTCACCTTTGATGTTGGCCGCAGGTGTGCTGCCGCGTCCTGCCAGGATTCCGCAGTCTCGCAAGGTTTGCTGCACACCTTTTCGGGCAAAGCTGCGGGTACACTGCACAATCGTGCGGGACCGTTGCTCCGTTTTGTGGCGTGGGCCAAGAAGCGGCGTCTCCAGCCGCTGCCACTGAGAGAGAAAGATGTGTATGAGTTCCTGCTTGATTTGGAGGATTCCAGCGCGCCGTCTTTCGGCAAGGCACTCATGTCCTCGTTGGCGTTTTGCAAGTTCGTTTTGGGTGCTGAGTCTTTCTCTGACTCCCTTTGCAGTGGCCGCCTTACAGGGCTTGCGCGTGCCTCCTTTCTTAAAAAGAGGAAGAGGCGACAGAAGCCGCCACTCACCGTTGCTATGGTCAAGAGATTGGAGCGCCTTGTTGTGGATGAGTCTGATAATGATGTTGACAGGCTGTGTGCAGGCTTTTTCTTACTCTGCATTTATCTTCGTGCTAGATACAGTGATGGCCAGGCCCTGATGAATCTGGTTTTGGATGAGCCGGACTCTTTCATGGGACCACTTGCAGGGTACTTCCAAGGTGAGACTTCAAGGACGAAGACCAGTTTCTCCTTGGAGAGGAAAACAGCATTGCTTCCTATGGTGGGGCCATTGTGCGGGGTGGCGTCCGTTCCTTGGTTCAGGACGTGGATGAGCCTTCGTGAGGACCTCGCCATTCCCGAGGGAGAAGATTTTCCTCTCCTGCCCAGCCGTGGTCAGGAGGGCGGATGGTCGGGTGTTCCGCCCACGGCCACTGTAGCAGCTGGTTGGTTGCGCGGGATTTTGTCTGCCAGAGGTTTCCCTGAAGCCTCAAAGCTTGGTACTCACAGCTGTAAGGCTACGACCTTGTCTTGGATGTCAAAGTATGGTGTTGACGCGCTGCGCCGGAGGATTTTGGGATATCACAAGGCTCCGCAGGATGAGATGATGCACATCTATGGGCGTGACAATGTTGCGCCTGCTCTGAGGTCTCTTGAGTACGTGCTCGCCGATATAAGGATCGGCAAGTTCCTCCCGGACACCACACGTTCGGGCTATTTTCCAACTGATCCCGAGCGCGAACCAGGTCCTGAGTTCAATGATGAACCGTCGGCCTCGGAGGCGTCACTGGACGAAGAGGACAACGTTCAGGACCTTCGTGCTGAAGAGGCTGCGGCTGATGAGATCATACCGCCGTGGGCCGAGTTAGCTGTGGGAGACCCTGATGCCCATGTGTACATCAGGCACATCACTTCCCGCAAGCTTCACCGTCTCGCTGATGAGGGCGGGAACCGACTTCGCTGTGGGAAGAGGTGCTCAAAGAAGTTCGAGCGTCTTGCTGAGAGGCCTAGGTTTATGGCAGATATGTGCCAAAACTGTTTCAAGTGATTTGCGCACTTGTGGAAGCCGGTACACGCGGTGCTCGCCGGACTCACTCGGTGATGGTTTGATGTGCTTGCGCACTTGTGGTTTGCCGGACTGCGCGGCTTGGAATTGGATGAGCTGGACCCACTCGGCTCACTTGTCAGACCCTTGCGGGTTTCATGATGTGCGTGAGTGCGTGATGCCACCGGTCCACGCGGTGGCACATGTACGAATTTCGGGTACTGGCCTGGTTTTGATGTGGCACCGACTTACTTGTCTGGTGTCATGCGAGTTTTTAGAACATGCTGAACACGAGTGTCGTGTGAAATACTTGCCGGGCGCCGTCAAGTATGTGTGATCGTGCTGAACTTGTGTCCGACAGTCAGCGGTTTGCAAGTGCATTTGTCGTTTGCGGTGAGTGTGCACTTTGGCTGGAGACCCCATAGTGCCTTGACAGGTTTTTGTGCCATGGCCGTCACAGAGAGCAAGGCAAACTTCTCTTCGAGGGCAAAGGCTCTTGGATTGGAGGATCCAGTGCTGGTGAAGTTCGTTGACGCTGGCATTGATTGCATGAGCAAGTATGCTTTCCTGAGCTCATACGTGCCCGGGAGCACGGATGAGAGCCCATTCACTGCTGCCATCGTCAAAGTGCTTGGGCGTGATCCTTCGATTGCGGAGCTCAGCGTGCTTCGCCGCTTGCTGCATGAGAGCTACAACCTAACTGTGTCTGAATTACAATCACAGGTTGAAAGGACCGATGATTCTGCTCCGAGAAAACTCGCAGCGCCCGACCGGGCCGACAGGTTGCAGCGACAGCAGGTTCGGCTGAGTGGTTTGACGATCCACGGCCCGACACTTCCGGGTCATGCCGTGATCGATAAGTGCGTTCAGATGTATGAGGATAACGTGCTTCATTACTTGCCGCCTCAGTCGTGCCCTTGCCGTGATGATGAGGTCAAGTTCAAGAAGGATCGCGATGATAAGATGTTGTCCGTTGATGGTGCCGGTCATGTGTCTCTACGCACCCAGGTTGCAAAGGTTGATGCTGATGTGTCCTCAGACCTTCTCCTCAAGCTGGCATTGACCCGTCGAGGTTTGGCCCTAGACCAGGCAGGGATAGTCACCTTTTCGGAGCACGAGCGGTGGGTGGAAGCACTTTTTACCGCGCGTTTCAGGGATCCACCTGACAACTATGCACGTGTGACGCTGCAGCAGCTTATGCAGGCTGATCGGCAGCTGTTTGTTGAAGCAGCAGATCGCACTCGGCATGGAATCCAACTTGTTTCTGACGGCAAGCCAGTTGATAAGATTTGGAACGAGGCAATGAATTGCAATAATGTCACACACCTTTTGCAGCCTCTGGTCGCAGCCCCTCCGGCTCCTTTCAGGCCTCGCCCGTACGATGACCGAAGGCCCTGGAAGGGCAAAGGGAAAGGCAAGGGTAAAGGAAAGAGCAAGAACAATGTCCGTATGCCCGCTGAGCTTGCAGACGGAGTTCCATCCACGACTCGCGGATTGCCAATCTGTTTCGACTTTAACTTAGGCCGTTGCCAGAGAGCTGTATCCAATGGGAAGTGCGAGCGAGGACTCCATGTCTGCTGCATCAAAGGATGTTTCAAGAGAGATCATGGATACACGGCGTGTCCCAAACGCAAGAAGGAGTGACTAGGTGTGCAATCCATGGACCAAACGACTGACGAGAAAGATGCTGCGCCGAGCGGTGAGCCTCTCGTGCGCTCTTCTTCTGAATGCAGTGTCCCTGAAGGGGAAGTTTTGCATGCAGGTCCAAATGGGTTGCCTTCCGCTGAAGAATTCGCTTCAAGTCTGCTTGGGAAGTGGATTGAACAGGCTGATGTTTTGAAGCTTTTCAATTGCCTCCCGAAAGCTGCGCCGCAACGCGGCTCCGGTGGCGGCATTTCATTTACCACTGGGGCCTTTGCCAAGGTCAAGGTGGGACTCCGGAGCAATGTCGCTGTTTTTCCAAAGTCCACGCAGGTGCTGGCTGCTTTTGTAAGGCAGTCTGCTCCTGCCCACAAGTTCACAACCGTCGTGCTTTTTGATGGTGTTCGCACGGACCCGCATCGTGACCAGCAGAATTCCTTCTTGCCTAATTTGGCCATTCCCTTGTCCCGTTTTACTAAAGGTTCAATTTGGGTGCAATCCAGCAAGGGTCCCCATACTCGGACTGTTGATGGCGCAACCCTTCAAGGGGTGGCATTGCCTGTGTCGAATGGCCCTGTCCTGTTTGATGCACGCAGGCAGATGCACCTCACTGATTCGTGGCAGGGCAGGAGGGTCATTTTGGTTGCTTTCTCTATTTCGGCCTTTGATAAGCTGTCTCTCGAGGCCTCGCAACGCTTGATTTCACTTGATTTTGCCTTGCCAACCGAGCCAGAGGTCGAGCACTTCCGTGAGCACCCACAGCTGCCTGCTCGCCTGCCGTGGCCGCCGCGTTTCCCTCTGCTGTCGAGTGCTTCAGCAACCAAGGCTTTTACCGAGGCGTTGGTTCCCAAAGAACCACTTTTTCTTGAGCTATGTGCCGGCACCGCCATGCTTTCTCGCTGCTTTCGTGAAGCGGGTGTGCCTGTCATGCCCATTGATCACCAGCACAACCGCCATCATCCGTTGGCGCAGGTCTGCAATCTCAGCTTGACCGAGGAGTCCACTTGGGTCTTCTTGCGCAATTTGGTGCGTGATCATCCTATACTCTTCGTGCACGCTGCCCCGCCTTGTGGCACGTGCTCCGCAGCGCGCAACATAAAGCGAAAAGGGGTGTCCGTGGCCCCGCTTCGCTCTCCTGAGCATCCCATGGGTTTGCCTTCGCTGACTGGTGTCAACCTTGACAAGGTCAAGGCTGCAAACAAAATTTACGTTGGCCTTGCCCAGTTTCTTGATTTGCTTTGCAGGTCCAACATCCCATGGACAGTTGAAAATCCTGAGTCAAGCATGCTTTGGCAGCTGCCCTGTTTTGCTCATTTGGTAAAGAATTTTCCGAGGGTCAATTTCGACATGTGTTGCTATGGTGGTGCACGATTGACCCACCGTACGCTGCTTACTTCTTGTGATGCCATCGAACATTTTCGCCAGCGCTGTCCGGGTGGGCACGACCACCTTCCGTGGAAGCCACAGCGCCGCGCTGATGGCACGATGTCTTTTCCTACTGCGCAGGAGGCAGCCTACCCCAGGCCCTTTTGCCAACAGTTCGTGGCGCTGGTCTTTAGGCACTTGGGTCGTCCCTTGCCTGTGCACCCTACTGCGGCCACGTCTGCCGCTGCTGCCACTTCTTCTGCTCGGCAACCTCGCGGGCGTAAACTGCCTCCTGTTATGCCTGAGTTCAAGCGTGTGCTTCTCTACCAAGTTCATGCTCTGCCGCCTGTTGATTCCAAGCGGTGCATTTTGCAACCCCTCCGCGATGCTCCTTCTGGGTCCAAACTTCTCTCTTCGACCTCTTTACTGCTAAGCGGGGGTGGTTCTGGGTCTTCGTTGAAGTTTTCCCGGGATGAGGTTGTGCACTCGGATAGTTCTAGCAGTGATGCCAGCAGTTGCGAATCCGTGCACGGTTCCGACAGTGATGCCTCCTGTGCGCGGACCTTGGAGCCTACTAGCGATGCGAGAGCTTTTGAGGTTCGCCTTGGTGTGTACGCCTCTCCCGATGAATTTCTTGATGGGTGCAGAAGGGTTACTCATCCTTTCGATCACCTGCATGCCGCTCCTGATCGTCTCAAACAATGCATTTTTGACATGTTGGTCAATGGGCCGACCTGGGTTGTGCAACGGAGGGCGGCCCTACTCAGGAAGTGGACGTCCTGGGCCTCCGACCTCGAAGGCGAGGAACGTGCTTTGAAGGAGGCGCTTGATCCTCAGGTCGCCAAGGTTTTGCAAGGAAAAAGGCTAAAGCTTCTGGAGCGTATTGCCGGCTCCCTTGGTTGGGTTGACATGAAGGTTTTTGATGAACTGCGCAATGGTTTTGACTTGGTGGGCCATCATGAACACACTGGCGTTTTCGCTCACGAGCCCAGGCCACCTAAGTTGGCCGAAAGTGATTTCATTAGTGCCGCACAGTTTCTGCAGCCCGCTTTACTTGGAAAGATTCGTGCTTCTGCATCCGATGCGAATGCTCGCGAGCTGTGGGACAAGACTCTTGATGAGGTGGCTGATGGCATTCTTGAGGGACCGCTTTCTGCTGAGGAGTTGTTGTCTCGACACGGGCCGTGCTGGCTCCCTACTCGCCGGTTCGGCGTTGAACAGACTTCCTCCGCCGGCCGTAAACTTAGACCTGTTGATGATTTCACTGAGAACAAGGTCAATTTGGCTTTCGGCTCGATGGATAAGCTTGATCTTAACGCGCTTGACGAGTTGATTGGGATCAGCAGGTTGTGGATTCGGGTTCTGAACGGGCCGCCCGATTTCACAATCCCTCTTTCAACTGGTGAATCCTTGAGTGGTCGTCTGCATGACGGCTGGAAGAAGGTGGGGTACGAGCCTCTCCTCACTACCTTGGACCTCCGAGCGGCTTATAAGCAATTTGCGGTTTCTGCGAAGTCGCGGGCCCTGGCAATAATCGCATTGCTTGACCCTTCTACTGCTGAGCCTGGACTCTTTGAGTCGAAGGCCCTACCTTTCGGGAGTTCCGCTTCGGTGCTTCACTTCAATCGCCTTGCGCGCCTATTCTGGCGCATCGGCGTGGAGCTGTGCGTGCCTTGGTGCAACTTTTACGATGACTTCCCTGTCATGTCTCCGAGTGGCATTGCTGACAACACCATGGAGACCATGATTGCCCTGTGTAACCTGTTGGGGTTTAGGTTCGCCTCTGATAAGCTTTCCCCTTTAAGGCCCAAGCCACGATGCTTGGAGTGGAGGTTGATTGCTCTCGCTTTTCTGAAGGCCTGGTCCTAGTCAGGAACAAGCCTGGCCGGGCCGAAGAGCTCATTGCCTCTCTTGACGAAGTCCTTGAGGAAGGTTTGATTTCTCGGAAGCGGTATCTAAGCTTAATGGGTCGCCTGCATTACACCGACTCGTACATC